CTCTTGAATCGACCACCTACAACCCGTCCAGAAATACCAACAACAGCGCATACACAACTGCAAGTTGACACCAATCCTCCAACGAAAGCTGAAATTTTGAATGCAATCAAGCTTCTGAAAGCTGGGAAAGCAGCTGGACCAGATGGAATACCCCCGGGAGCACTGAAAGCAGACCCAGAAACGACATCAGAAATGCTGGCTCCATTGTTGCAAAAGATCTGGAAAGAGGGAAAAGTGCCTACTGACTGGAGGAAAGGTTACCTAGTGAAACTACCAAAGAAGGGCGACCTGGGACTCTGCAAGAACTGGCGAGGAATCATGCTCCTGTCGACGCCAAGTAAAATCCTGAGTCGCATCATCCTGGAGAGAATCAAGGACGCGCTGGATACAGAACTCCGACCAGAACAAGCTGGATTCAGCAAAGGCAAATCATGTTCTGACCAAATTGCAACTCTACGCATCATCATAGAACAAAGCATAGAATGGCAATCAAACCTCTACCTCAACTTTATAGACTTTGAGAAGGCCTTCGACAGCGTTGACCGCGAATTAATTTGGAAATTACTCAAGTACGACGACGTACCCCAAATATTCATCAACCTTATTCAACAACTGTACGACAACGGCACATGTCAAGTGATTCACAACGGAAAACTCAGCAAGGCGTTTGGAGTAAACACAGGAGTCAGACAAGGGTGCTTATTATCACCAATGATATTCCTAATTATGGTGGACAGACTGGATTATGCGTAAGACAGTGGGAAACGAGAAGACAGGGATATCCTGGACCGACGTGAAGAACCTAGAAGACCTGGATTTCGCGCGTGGATGATTTATGTTTGATGTCACACAAAATCGAAGACTTACAAGCGAAAACTGACAAAATGGTCGGAGAAGCAGCAAAGACAGGACTCCAGGTGAACATAGACAAGACGGAGGTTATGAAAATAACCAACCAACAACAACAACAACAGCAGCAACATCCAGCGCCAATCACCATCAACGGGAGGGATTTGAAAGAGGTTACTTCACTCACTTATCTAGGGAGCATTGTCTCAACTACAGGAGGAACGGACGAGGATGTCAAATCAAGAATCGGAAAGGCGAGAAACATATTCATCAACCTGAAACCAATCTGGAAATCTTCGTCACTCAGCCTGCATCAACAACAAAATTCGGATTTTCAATACAAACGTCAAGTCAGTCAGTTCTTCTATATGGATCAGAAACTTGGCGGGTCACAAAGAATATTTCCAACAGCCTGTTGCAGATCTTCATCAACAGCTGTCTTCGTTCTGTACTGAAGATCAGATGGCCGCCGGAAAGAATCACCAACAAGAAACTATGGGAACAAACAAAACAAGAACCAATCGCCGCCCAACAAATATGCAGGAGAAAGTGGAGATGGATTGCACACTTGCTGAGGAGGCCGTTGGGTGACATCACGCGTCAGGCCATCGTTCGAGTGGAACCCGAAAGGGAAGCGGCGAGTGGGACGTCCAAGGGTGACAAGGAGGAGATCGTGTGAACAGGAACTGAAACAGTGTGGATCAACATGGATGCAAGTGAAAAGTACAGCACAAGATAGAAGCAAGTGGAGACGTGCACTTGAAGCCCTATGTTCCACTAGGAACCCAAGGGAACAATAATATAATAATAATCAAGACTCCTATGAGGAATCGGGAGGATTTTTTGCAACATATACGAGAACGTTGTCTTTTGTAACTATTTTTTAACATTGCATTACTTGTATACAAACGATTTATTACAATTATGCGCCGTTTTTTTGAGCCTTCTGATTGGTCGAAGTTGTCCTTGTGAAGGTCATTTGTCCTTTCTCTAGGTAGTTTCGGTTTGGGCTGCTATTCTTTAGAGTTGCCATGAGTAGTTCTCCAAACAACAACCCTTCTATATTTTGAATTCAGTGTTATAGATGTGTCTAGAAGGTCTGTGAAAATCGTGTGCCTAGACTATTGTACCTCTACGACAGTGTTGAGCGCTACGTTAATTTGAAAACTGCCTCAACACTATGGCGTGCATTACCCTAAACCTTCATCAACCTCACTCAACTGCTGACTTTATGACAATGACAAGCGTATCTAGTGATTCACTACGGAAAACTCAGTGAGGCGTTTGAACTGAATACACAAGTAATAAAAAGGCTGGCTACCTATTATAAATGACGATGATATTCCTAACTGCCGCGGACCGAATTATTCAGAAGACCACATCTGTGTAGCAAGTAGACAGGAACACTCCGGATAGATAAGAAGACTGTCGAAGTGGCTGGAGATGCAGTTAGGAAAGACAGGATTTCAGGGGAACAGAGAGAAGACAGATGTGATGAAGATATCCATGAACCGTCATCAACAATAACCAACATCAATCACTATCCATGAGAGAAGTTTGAAAGAGGTCACTTTCTCCACTTATCTGGCTAGGAATCCTCGTTTCAACTAAAGGCGACAGTACTGATGAGGATGTCAAAACGGGAATTGGAAAGACAAGGTACGCCTTTATCTACCTGAAATCAGTTTGGAAATCGTCTACACTCCACCTCAGCATAAAGATCAAGTCAGTTCTTCTATATGGCTGAGAAATTTGACCATCGCGTGTGTCAATAAAACCCTTTTCCAACTGGCCTGTGCAGACCTTTATCAACGGATGCCCCCTTCGATGGCTCTAAATTGAAGATCAAGTGGCTGGCTGGTCGGCTAGAAAGAATAAGCAACAAGAAACTCTGGCAATGAACAAACCAACTAAAACAAAACGTTTGGAAGAAAACGGAGATGGAGACCGTCGAATAACATCATGGTCAATGTATGCCATCACTCGAGTGGGGCATGTAGGAAATCGTGTATGTAGAAAGCAGATAAGAAATTATAGGCGATTGTGGGACAGGTTAAAGAGAACCGCAGAGAATAAAGAAAAATGGTGACGTGCTGTTAAAGCCTTGTGTTCCACTCGGAACCTAAGGGAACAATAACAACAGTAGTAACCTCAGAGAACACAAGAACACTAAACGCATATATTTAGGCTACAGTTCTTCTGAATTACACGTTATATGCTACTAAGTGGATTCAAAAAAAAACACACGGAATAAACCTTAAGAGTTAGAAGGGCGAAGTAATGTTTGTTTGTGGAATTAGTGTCTCCGGTTTATTCTGTGTGAATTCTAAACAATGGGCTGATCACTTTAAAGGACTCTTGTATCAACCACCACCGGCAACTCTCCCAGAAATAACAGCACACACGGAAACGCCAGTGGACACCACTCCTTCGGCGAAAGAAGAAATTCTGAATACGATCAAGCCATTAAAGCCTGGCCGGGAAAGCAACAGGACCAGACGGCATTCCTCCGGAAGCACTGAAGACGGCCCCAGAGATTACGGCAGATGTTCTCACTCCATTATTGGGAAAAGTTTGGAAGGAAAGAAAGGTGCCTACTGATTGGAAGAAGGGCTACCTCGTTAAACTGCCGGAGAAGGGCGACTTACGCCTCTGCAAGAACTGACTGGCGTGAAATCATGCTCATTTCCCTGCCAAGTAAAATACTAAGTCGCATCATCCTGGAGAGATTAAAGGATGCACTGGATACAGAATTCCGCCTGGAACAAGCTGGATTCAGGAATGGTAAATCATGTGCTGATCAAACCGCAGCTCTACGCATCATCATCGAACAAAGCATAGAATGGCAGTCAAACCTCTACATCAACTTCATCGACTTCGAAAAGGCCTTCGACAGACAGCGTTGACCGAGAAGTAATTTGGAAACTACTTCAACACTACGGTGTACCTCAAATCTTTGTCAACCTCATTCAACAGCTATATGACGATACCACATGTCAAGTGATCCACAACGGAAAACTCAGCTAGGCGTTCGAAGGGAATACAGGAGTAAGACAAGGAAGGCTGCCTATTATCACCAATGATATTCTTAAGTGTGGTGGGTTGCATTATGCGGAAGACTGTGTGTGCACAGGGAGTGATAAGTCGGGAATACGCCAGACCACCGGATAAGAAGGTTCTACAAGATCTGGATTTCACGGGTGACATGTGTCTGTCGCACAAACTCGAATACTTACAGGCTATTAAACCAACAAACTGGCTGAAGAAGCAGTGAGGACGGAACTTCAGGTGAACATAGAGAAGACGGAGGTGATGAAAACAACCACTCACCATCACCACCGACAACAGCCAGCACCAATCAACGGGAGAGATTTAACAGAAGCTACTTCCTTCATTTATCTAGCTAGGAAGCATTGTTTTAACCACAGACAGTCGGAATGGACGAAGATGTCAAAGTCCGAATCGGAAAATCAAGATACGCCTTCATCAACCTGAAACCAGTTCGGAAACCTTCCTCACTCAGCATAAGGAACAAGATTCGGATTTTCAGCACCAATGTGAAGTCGGTTCTTCTATACGAGTCAGAAACTTGCACTGCACGTGAGTCATGAAAAGGAATTCCAACAGGTTGCAGACTTTCATCAACAGCTGCTCCCTTCTCTGGCTCCATACTTAAGATCAAATGGCCAGAAAAAATTAGTAGCAAGAAACTAGGGGAACAAACCAACTGAGAGACGATCGCTCAACAAATATGTAGAAGGAAGTGTAGATGGATCGGGTATACATTGAGGAGGCCGCCGATTGATATCGCATATCAGGCACTCGAGTGGAATCCAAATGGGAAGCGACGACTGGGCCACCCTAGGGTGACATGGAGGAGATCGTGTGATGAAGAGATGAGAGAGTTTGGTCAATCGTGGGCTCAGGTAGATAAAGGGGACGGCAGAAAACAGAACAAAGTGGAGACGTGTTGTTGAAGCCCTATGTTCCACCAGGAATGCAAGCGAATAATAACAATAATAATGTAAACAGTCTTCTATGAAAAATTATGCTGCCATTTTTATTTTTTATCAATATATCGCCTCTTCATTATGTTTTAAATCTGATATTAACTGATATGTATTCATATTATTACTTTTTTGGTTAAATAGACTTTGAAACGGAAACAACTTACTAAAAAATTTTTCCCATGGAATTTTCGATTCACTCGACCTAAATCGCAAGAGATTTATGTCTTCAATACAGAACGTTATAGTAATTGGTCCGAGTGGAAAGAATGTCTACCAATGGAATGTATTGAAATACGTTATCGTAAGTGTATAGATGACTCATGGAAAACGCTATCACCGAATCTTATTCATACAACACGATGTATATCAAAGTATTATGCTGAAAAACGTACATGCTTGAATAAAACTCAGTGTAATGCATACAGTAAGTTTATTTCGATTAATTCGATTTTTTGTGCAATGAAAATTTTTCAGCGCGTTTTAACTTTATTTGTGTATTAGTTTGTTTATTAGATGGATATATTACACGGAGTGAAATAGTGTTATTATTATTATTACTGTTATTATTATTAGTCAGTGGATGGTGACGCCTTTCGAACACAATCTACCAATGTTCGCATTCATATAGCTAATCATAACTACACACACTTCGAAACATTCGCCGCATAGTTTGTTTCCTTATTCCTAACTATTTGTCGTCGTAGGGGTAGTAGAATTTTTCAGATGTCCGGCTGGACACGTCTTGAATCATTCCTATTACACGCATTCTGTTCAGCTGATTCCATAAATAAAGCCTCCGTTATCAGTCTCTCTCTCCACCCTGTTACATTCGATTTTAGAACTGTCATCTCATCCTATCCCATCCTATTGTATCGTCGAGTATAATTGCATGTAGTGGGAGCTATAGACGAACTGTCCTCTAGATTTCTTATATTATTCGGGTCAACTAATCTAGACTTTGCTAGGTATTTGTGTTCCGCTAGTCTGACTGACTGACCCCGTTCTACTACTCTGACCTATGTATTTGACTTGACAGTCATTCAAGCAGGGTATTAGATAAACTAAATTGTTTTGTTTCATTGGCTCCACAGGATCCACTACTTAACCGACAATGCTTGTTTCTAACCAAGTTTGCGGGTAGCTAGAAAGTCACCTGTTCCCCCGCCTGTATTGTTGAGAATTCTCCGTAAAATGGTTTCCGAGGTTCCTTCTTTGTATGGAAGTACTATTGATGATTCAAATTCCTTACTGTTTGCGATGTCATCATTCTGTGAATGTTTGTCATGCATGTCAAGACTTTCGTTTTATAGTTTTCTTTATTCCCACCTATTCATTGTAGGGATTGTAGAATTTTCGAAATGCACAGGACAGGTGTATGGTGGAGGTATGTAGATGATACATTCACTGTACTTAGAATACAGAACATAAATAGATTTTCGGAACATATCAACTCGAAGGTAGAGGCAATTCAATTCACTTATAAATTAGAAAGTCAGGAAAGGGAGCTTCCAGTGTTAGAGTGTAGCGTAAAAAGGAAAGAAGATGGGAAGTTAGAACACACTAGTGTTTACAGGAAACTCACCCATTCAAACAGATATTTGGACTTCCGATCATCCCACCCGATGTCAATAAAAATAAGATTGGTGAAATGTTTAAATAATAAAGCACAAAAACTAAGTAGTACGAAGGAAAATCTAAGACAGGAAATGAGGCATATAAGAGAAGCTTTGAAACATCATAATTTCCCTGGTAAATTAGTCAGGAAATATGTAGGGAAATGTAAAAATAAAATAAATAATGATAGTAGTGATAGTGATAATAATAATAATAATAATGACGACATGCATATCAAACATGCACAGAATAATGGCAACAACAACAATAAGGAATCTAAATCATCAGTAGTATTTCCATACAAAGAAGGAATCTCGGAAACCTTACGCAGAATTCTTAACAAGGCAGGAATAAAAGTGGCATTCAAACTACCCACAAACTCAATTAGAAACAAGCTTTATCGGTTAAATGGTGGATCTTGTGGAGCCAATAAAACAAAACAATTTAGTTTATCTAATACCCTGCTGGAATAATTGTCAGGTCAAATACATTGGCCAAAGTAGTAGAAATAGATAAGTCATGTTAGCGGAGCACAAATACCTAACAGAAAAATCTAGAGTAGTTCACCCGAATAAGATAAGAAATCTGGGGAATAGTTGGTTCAGCTATAGCACTCACTACACGCAAATACACACAACCATACAATACGATGGGAGGGATATGATGACAGTTCTAAAATCGAATCTAATGTAAGAAGTTAGAGGGAGAGATTGATAATAGAAGCTTTGTTTATCGAATCAACTGAGGAGAATACATGTAATAGGAATGATTTAACACCTGTCCACCCTGACATCTGGAAAATTCTACTACCCCTACGACGACAAATAGTTGGGAATAAAGGAAACAAACTATGTCAGGTAAGCTTCAGTGCGCATGTAATTATGATTGGCGATATGATTATGAACAGCAAGGGATTGTATTCGAAGGTTTTTCATCCAATTAATAACATTGTTTCACTGTGTTATACATCTAATAAACAAACAGTGCCCAAGTTTTACACATATATTGAATTTCGCTTTGTTATTTGAGTGTACAATGTGTATATCTCATGTTCATTGGTCAGGGTAAATTTATAAGATTCTCTGAGCTCTCTGTTTCTTACGTAACTAGATGTGAGGTATGCGAAGATTTCATTAAGTGAAGAACCATCAAAAGCCAAGCAGCATTTAGTAACCATTCACACATCATTTTAAAGTTTCACTTAGAACACATTCATGGCTGACATTGTCCACTCATTAATTATGTCACCGGTGAATACCGGTGACTCACAATTTCCTCCCCATGTCAGTTCCCAATGAAACACAAGGAGCAGGCAGCGATACTGATTAACACCTATCCTCATATCCGATTTGGGTGGCCCACCCACACATATACACACAATTTTCCTTTCTCAGAGGTAGGTACCTTCCCTGGTGACAGTGTTGTGTCCCACTTTGTGACTGGCAGTGCAAACTGTCAGGCTGCGAGATATGTGAATTTAACACACCAATAAAACCTACTCTAATCGTGAATCACAACATTAATGCTTCTGGCAGGTGAAAACAAGAAGGGCGGGGGATTGACTGTTAACAGAAACCTTTCACTCTTACAGTCTCTAACACTTCATGATCAAATCTTGTAAACAGTCAAAATACTTGCTCAGAATAACCTTGAGAAACACATAGGTACTGAAAGGTTTAAAGTGATAACAATCAATGAGAGTTCAGCCTTTAGAAACACGTTGAACATAAAATGCTGGCATGAAAACCAACCTTCACTAATCACCAGATGGTAACTGTTTAATGCAACAGGTGTTCATTTATGTTATTCAAACACCCATGAATTATTGACAAATGTGGACTCACGGATTAATTGATGAAAAACGATAAGAGGCTGAAGTCTTTTCAAAGTTGAAGAAAATTTTAACGGATATCATATACTACTAGTAGCTGATTCAAATAAGTAGTTGGAAACCACTCATATCAAACAGTAGCTGCTGCCAAGCTACAGCAGAGGGCCGTTTCTCTCGTTTTGCGCCGAAATCATCGGTGGTCTGTGTGCCCCGTTTGATGCAGCTGTCTAACGAGAATCACTTCAAACTACCCGAATACTCTCTAGACATTTCACACAATGATTCCCCTTAATGAATTTGATTGAATAAAGCGAGAACTACAGTTTTTGCGGAATAAAATGGTACCATCAGCGTTAATTTCCTTGTATTCTCATCATCTGCTTACAGGCCAGTGTCATTATTAGGGATATCTGCAGAAACAATTTTAACATACTTACATACACCGAGTTCATTTTAAACAAAAATCAATCAATCAATACATGCATACAGTTATCAGTATTATTATTGTTCCCTTGGGTTCCTAGTGGAACATAGGGCTTCAACTGCACGTCTCCACTTGCTTCTGTCTTCTGCTGTACTTTTCACTTGTATCCATGTTAGTCCATACTGTTTCAATTCCTCGTCACACGATCTCCTCCATGTCTACCTTGGACGTCCCACTCGCCGCTTCACAATGGAATTACAGTTCATTCAAGATGCTTAAATTACAATAATAATAAAGATATAATAGCAAATGGAATATCAACTAAAATTAAGGAAATTTCCACAAAACTGAGGATCATTCAAACCTAGATGGCCAAGGTAAGGACAGTGTTTGAACTAGCTTCTTTTGGACACACAAATTAGGCTTCTTGATGTGGATCCCAACGGCCGGCCTCAGCAATATTTAGTAAACGAACTCTTAAGGCAAAATTAAGATTTGTTGGTATGCGGTAAATGACTCTGAAAGCCTGGTTAACATCAATCTTGTGTTCTGTATCCACAAGGTGATATAGAATGGCGCTACGAATAGATTTTGTTTGTCCTTTACTTAACCACTGAGCAGGGTGCTGTTCGGAAATCCGACGAGAAACACGCCAAATTGTACGGCCTATGCAACTAACTGGCTCCACAGGAGCCAGTTAAAAAGACCAACATTGTTATTGACTACTATTCTAGAATATTCCATGTATATAAACATGCATATATAATTGTAGAGCCAGAAGAGGAAATTATCGAAAAGGATATTCTTTGCTCAATTATTTTTGATGTTTTATAGATGTCTGAATGAATATTTTCCACATATTTATTTGTTGAGCAATAGGTTCTCGCCTGTTAGTTTGTTCATTGACAGAGTTTCTTGTTCGCCGCTAATTCTTTCTGGTCAGCCAACCAGCCAGCCAGTCATTTGATCTTCAATATGAAGTCATCGAAGGTGGCAGCTGTTGATAAAAGTCTACACTGTTCTGTCAGAAATGCTTCTCGTGAATCACGCACAGTGAAAGTTGCTCACCTATATAGAAGTAGTGAGCGACTGACTTCACATTTGTGCTGAAAATTCGAATCTTACTCTTTATGCAGGCTGATTGAAGAAGATTTCCAAATTGACTTCACACTAATGAACGTCTATCTTGACTCTCCTCAACCGTGTTGTCGTGTGTAGTCAGATAAGTGAGGGAAGCGACCTCTTTTGAATCTCTCCCGTTGGTAGTTACTGGTTCTGGCTGTTGTTGTTGTTGCTTGGTTGGTTGGTTATCTGCATCACCTTCGTATTCTCTATGTTCACCACCTAGAGTCCTGTCTTCACCGCACTACTTCTTAAGCCAGTTTGTTGGTTTTCGCCTGTAAGTCTTTAGGTTTGCATAACAATAACAGCTAAACAGACTACCTGAATCCCACTGCGCTAACATTCTAAGCTCTATGATCCTGAATCAACCGTACATCTCATTACACACTTAATTCCCGACCGAAAGCTGCTACCTTGACGTGGTGGTCGGGCT